GCAGGGGAAGCAGGCCCACGTCTAGCCTCCTGCCTGGCCTCTGAGGCTGTCCCTGAGCTATTGTGGTGCTCGTCTGTGCGCCTGTTGCCCTTGCTCCTCCAGGCATTCTTGCCGTCTCTGGCGGGGTTTCAACTGGACTAGGGCTAGGGAGGAGGCCAGAGTCTGAGGCTGGGGCCAAGCAGGGGGTGGGGAAGCTTGTCGGGAACAGGTGCTGGGGACGGGCAGTTCTCTTAGGCTGGCAACGCTGGCAGGCTGCTCTGACTGGCATGTGCATTTACATGTGTATATCCCTTCTTTCTGTTGGTCTTTTATGTAGGGTAAGTACATATGTGGCATGGTCTTTCAACACATCCTTGCCAGAATTTGAGAAAAATGACTCTTTTTTTTTTTTTTCCTCTTTAGTACTTGAACACTCTGCTTGGCACTGAGGAGTTGGGTCCAGGGAAGCTCTGGGGTGGTTGGAGCACCCCAGCCTCTGAATCTAGCCCTTGTCCCACCCTACAGGCTGCTGGTGGGTGCTCCCCAGGCCCTGGCTCTTCCTGGGCAGCAAGCAAACCGCACTGGAGGCCTCTTTGCTTGTCCCCTGAGCCTAGAGGAGACAGACTGCTACAGAGTGGACATCGACCAGGGAGGTGTGGCCTTGGGAGGTGGAGTGGGGGGGCAGCCTGTGAAGAGGAGAGGGCAGGACTTGGTCTCCTGTTCCCTCCCTGATACCCAGTGTCTTGCTTCAGCTAATGTGTACAAGGAAAGCAAGGAGAACCAGTGGCTGGGAGTCAGCGTTCGGAGCCAGGGACCCGGGGGCAAGATTGTCGTGAGTACTACTTCCTGTGACAGCACAGAGGTTACGGTGATGCGTGTACATTGTGTGCACACAGGTGTGATGCGTGTACATTGTGTGCACACAGGTGTGATGCGTGTACATTGTGTGCGCACAGGTGTGATGAGTTTACATTGTATGCACACAGGTGTGATGTGTGTACATTGTGTGCACACAGGTGTGAGGTATGTACATTGTGTGCACACAGGTGTGATGAGTGTACATTGTGTGCAC